CGGTGGCAATTTCAACGGGTCCGAGTCCTTCAGGTCCGCCCGCAAGCTGCGGGCGCGGTGCCAAGGTTTCTCGGAGAATCCAAAGACTAGGGCGAACCAGCTCACGGCGATCGACCGTATCACTCGTGGCCTGGAGCCCCGCCAGCGTGAGGCAGGAGCGGCGCGTTCTGGCCCGAACCCTGCCCCCTAGTGTTTCTTTTTGGACTTGGGCCTGGGAGGTTTTCTTGGGTGTGGTTTTCCTGAGGCGCCCCACCCTCTCCCAGGCTTCCGCCTTCCGCCACCCCTGTGGCTCTCAGGTCTCACACGCGGTTGGTGTTCGTCACTCGGACGCCCCTCCTGCGGCTCGCTCGCTCCTCCTCCTCCTCCTTATCCTCCTCCTCCTCTTCCTCCTTCCTTCCTTCCCTCCTGCTCCTCACCCCCCTCCTAATCATCCTCCTCCTCCTCAACAGTATCCATCATCATCGTCGTCATCATCATCATCATCATCATCATCATCATCCTCATCATCCTCATCATCCTCCTCATCCTCATCCTCATCCTCATCCTCATCCTCATCAGCATCATCATCATCAGCATCATCATCATCGGCAGCAGCATGATCACCATCATCCGAATGTTAATAGTAATAATAATAATAATAGTGATGGTAATGATAATAACGATAAGAATAATAATCCTGACAATAATAATGAGAATCCTGATAATCAGCATCATCATCAGCCTCATCTCCAGCAGCATCAGCATCATCATCATCTTCATCGGCATCATCATCATCGTCATCTGCATCATCACCACCACCACCACCATCATCATCAGCAACAGCATCATCATATTCATAGTCATACTCATGTTCATATTCAGATTCATACTCATCTTCATCAGCTTCTTCATACTCATCAGGATCACCATCATAATTCACCATCATCAGCCGCAGCATCATCAACATCAACAACAATATCAACAACGTCATTCTTATCATTAGCATCACCCTGATGATCATCATAATCATCCTCCTCATCACCATCATCCTCATCGTCAGCAGCAGCATCATCATCCTAATCAGAATCACAAGCACCGTCATCATCAGCATCCTCATCGTCAACGCATCATCATCAGCAGCAGCATGACCATCACCATCACCACCACCAGCATCATCATGTTCACCGCCGCCATCCTTATCATCATCATCATCATCACCGCCGCCATCCTCATCATCATCAGCATCATCAGAATCATCATAACCATCCCCACCCTCATCATCAGCAGCATCATCAGCATTATCATCACCGTATTCATCATCATCAGCAGCATCATCATGATCGTCATCATCATCATCATCATCATCATCAGCATCATCATAACCATCATCGTTATCAGCATCGTCGTCATCATCAGCATCTCCATCACCACCATGGTCATGATCATCAGCGACTGAAGCAGCAGCATCATGTCCATCATCACCACCTCCACCATCAATACCATCATCACCGCCGCCATCCTCATCATCAGCAGCATCATTCTCACCACCACCATTTCATCATCACCAGCATCGTCATCATCATCAACCTCATCATCAGCAGCAGCAGCATCATCATCATCGGCATCACCACCATCGTCGTCATCGTCGCCATCATCAGCAGCAGCATCGGCAACCGCAACACCATCATGATCTGAATAAGCAGCATCATCATCAGCATCATCATCATCATCATCATCATCATCATCATCATCATCAGCATCATCATCAGCATCATCATCAGCATCATCATCGTCGACATCGGCATCATCATCATCATCATCATCATCATCATCATCATCATCATCATCATCATCATCATTATCAGCTTCATCATCAGCAGCATCGCCATCATCACCACCACCAACAACACCACCTTCAGCATCAACAGCATCATCAGCATCATCAGCACCATCATCGTCATCATCGTCATCATCGTCATCATCATCATCATAATCATCATCAGCATCATCATCATCGTCACCGTCGTCGTCGTCTTCTTCGTCGCGGTCGTCGTCGTCGTCGTCGTCGTCGTTGTAGTCGTCGTGGTCGTCGTTCTCGTCGTCGTCGTCAAGATTGTTCGAGGTCTTCGCACGAGGGAGGAGACGAGGAGACGAGGCGTCAGGTAGAAGTGAAACGAGTGAGCATGACGGAAGTGTAGCGCCTACCAAGCCGATGCACAGGGGTGGAATGGCAGACCAGGCACTCTCAGGCACCTAGTTCCCAGAATCGCAGACGTGAAGGACTGATGGATCCCTACTCTTACGAGGTATGAGACGGGTGGCCAACGTACCACACCCTCCCTGGGGGCCTGCGCTGTGGCTCTCTGTGCCACACTGGTGGTCCACGTGCAGCGGTGGGATCTTCGTGGGGGACGACGCGGATGGCAGGTACACGGCACCCCCCCCGTCGGACTCAATAGGGTGGGGGGGGGGAGGAGAGGAAGGAAGGGCGGGGCTGTGGCGACTGCAGGCAAGGACGCAGCCTGGCACCATGCGAGTTCGAAACACACACACACACACACACACACCAGGCGTGTCTGCAATTGGCGGCGAGCGAGGGGTGGAAGTGAGAAGCAGAGGGCCTTCTCAGACGGCTCGGAAGTCCCTGGGCCTTCTGAGAGGTTGCCTAAGCCTTCCCCGAAAGCACCGAAAACCTCCCAGAAGAGACGAGGGGTTTCTGAGAAGTCCCGCCGCCTTCTGAGAGGGCCTTCTTCTCACTTCCCCCCCTCGCTCGCCGCCGACGCAAGTCCGTGCGCGGGCCTACGCTTAGGTCGAGCATGTCCTCCTACAGGCGGATTCTGAACGACAAAAATGCTCCAAAAATATTCAAAAACTGTCAACAGCACTAGAGAGAAATCATCGCCAGACTATTCCTCACCATTTTTGGATGTTCCTCCTGCAGGGGGGCATGCCCGACCTAAGCCTACGCCCTCCACGCCAGCGCGGCCCAGGGGAGGCGAGGGCGGGGGACGAGCACACGAGGATTTGGGCCCCCCCCCCCCCTCGGGGGCCCAAGCTCTGGCCGAGATCGCCGCGCTCCCCCGAGCGGCGCCGACCGAGGCACCTCCAATCGGATCCCCGACGGCTCAGAGTTTGGCCAGCGCCAAGGTGCCTCCTCCTTCTCCTCCTCCTCCTCCTCATCCTCCTCCTCCTCCTCCTCCTCCTCCTCCTCCTCCTCCTCCTCCTCCTCCTCCTCCTCCTCCTCCTCCTCCTCCTCCTCCTCCTCCTCCTCCTCCTCCTCCTCCTCCTCCTCCTCCTCCTCCTCCTCCTCCTCCTCCTCCTCCTCCTCCTCCTCCTCCTCCTCCTCCTCCTCCTCCTCCTCCTCCTCCCTCCTCCTCCCTCCTCCTCCTCCTCCTCCTCCTCCTCCTCCTCCTCCTCCCTCCTCCTCCTCCTCCTCCTCTCCTCCTCCTCCTCCTCCTCCTCCTCCTCCTCCTCCTCCTCCTCCTCCTCCTCCTCCTCCCTCCTCCTCCTCCTCCTCCTCCTCCTCCTCCTCCTCCTCCTCCTCCTCCTCCTCCTCCGCCTCTCCTCCTCCTCCTACTCCTCCTCCTCCTCCTCCTCCTCCTCCGCCTCCTCCTCCTCCTCCTCCTCCTCCTCCTCCTCCTCCTCCCCCTCGTTCCATCCTTCTCCTCCTCCTCCTCCGCAGCAGCAGCAGCAGCCTCCTCCTGCCGCTAGCGACACAACGGCGCCTTCTCCCCTGGCCTACCACGACATGTTTACAGAAACTGCACATCATGTTCTTTGAACATACGCCCTTATGATGATCCCGAGGTCGTCCTTATGTTTCACGGCGCCTTGTGAGAGCTACCGAGTTCGTCCTTCGCCAACGACACGCAGGTAGCGGAACGAGCAATGGCATGAGCATAAAAAAATTCGGAGGTCCGCGCGGGTTTCTCGGATCGGCGCTGGGCCCCCCTGGCGGCGCCTCCGGCGCCGCCCCTGGCGCGCCCCGCGCGCCAGGGAGGAGGGTCCCGCGCGGATCCAAGAACTCCGCGCGGACCTCCGAATTGTTATGCTTATGCCATTTTTCGTCCCCCCGTCAGGGAAGCGCGCAGGCGGACAAGAGGATGCGGACACGACGGGGAGGCGTGCGGGGCGGCGGCAGCCTCGAGCACTCCGGCGGGCACGCGGGCGTGCAGGCAGGCAGCGGGTCGTGCCAGCAGTCGCGGTGGCGAGCGCGCGGGTGCAGTCAGCGTGCCAGCAGTGACGAACCAACAACACACACCCATACCCCTAGGGGGATCGGAGAGGGCCATGGGTGCGTGTTGTTGGATGGGGGTCCCCGCTCGAACGGGAGCGTTCCCCAGGGTCCGACAACCCGCACCCATACCCACAGCCAGTCCTCCTCCCAACGACCCCCCTATGGGTATGGGTGTGTGTGTGTGTTGTTCGCTCGTCAAGCAGAGGGGGCGCAGAGTGAGGAACGGAGGCGCCCGCCCGGCCGCGGCGAGGTGCGGCCACGAGAGGGCTCCCCGACCGGGGTCGAAGGAACGCCCCGAGAAACGGGGCCCCCTCCCGAGCCCAAAGCAGTCCTTTCTCCAGCGCCTGGACTGTGGGCAAGCATGCGGCAGCCAGCCAAGGGAGCCCGTGGGCAGCCGCGGTCGAGCCCAGAGAACCCGCAGGACCATGGCCTGGGCGCAGTCATCACAAAAGCCGTCCTCCTGCAGCAGAGGCTCGACCACAAGAAACCTTCCACAAGAAACCCAACCCTGAGACCCCGGGACGTCCGTTGATTTTTTGGCGTGGGAGCGTCGCGCTTTCCGCAGCGAAACCCTCGAAACCCAAGAAACCCAGGGCACCCTGGAGGCAAGCAGGGTGTCTCTTGGCATGGGTCTCCACTGTAGAGGCAATCGAAGACCCTACGTATGGTCGAGGCTATTGGGATGAAAGCGCTCCCCATCAACAGACCCTCTTCTGACGAGGAGTGACAGAGAGGGGGCTGACGAGAAGCTGCTGCCCAGGCGAACCATCTGCCCCATACCGTCCATAAAATGCGCCGCCGTGGGAACGCAGATGTCAAACTTCAGGTCGGTCAAGATGACCACCTCCATCTGCAGGATGTCCTGCCCCTCCCCCCCAGCCGCGCAGCCACGAAGGACGCACGTGGGGCACCGCTCCGAGCCCGCCATCCACCGCCATCCCTCCCGTCTTCCCCTGGAGGAAGAAACATCGCCGTGTGCACAAACTTGCGGAGATCGGCGCGGATTTCCTGGATCGGCGCTGGACCCCTCTCACTGGCGCGCCTGGCGACGCAGGAGGCGCCGCAAGGGGGGCCAGCGCCGATCCAAGAAATTCGCGTGGACCTCCTGGGGTTCTTGATCATGCCGTTTTTTTCCTGGGTCACCTCGCTTCGCGCAGGGCCCTCGTTGATGCGCGACGCGCGGTTATCTTCGCGCCCTCGCAAAGGAGCTCCTGGGCGTCGGACATCGAAGATGGTGTGTAGAGGTGCTTCCCCCGAGACATCCTCAGGAAATGGGGATGTTGGAAGACATGTTGGAGTGACGCTGGCTCTCGCTCTTGCCCGCGATCCGCCACCCTGCCCTTGAGCCACGAGTTGGAATGTCCTTGGTCCCTCGTTCGATCCCCTAGGGCCTCAGCCCTCAATCCTGAGGACTTCACAGAAATCTTGTCGGGTTCCACGCGTCTGGTCGCGTGACTTGTTCCAGCCCCAGAGGGCTCCAAGGCGGGGAAGGGCGCATGCAGACCCCCCACCAGAGCCTTCCGCGGAACTCCTCGTGGGACCACGAAGCGCGCCCAGGGTGTGCCGAAGTGGGGCCCGGGGCCGCATGTGGACGCTCCCGCGGGGGCCTGCGGTGGAGTTCCATCTGGGGCCACGAAACGTGCGTGGGGTGCGCCGACATGGGCCAGGGGGGCGCATGCGGACCCCCGCACTGGAGGCTTCGGTGGAGCTCCATATGGGGCGAGGAGGAGGAGGAGGAGGAGGAGGAGGAGGAGGAGGAGGAAGAGGACGAGGACGATGACGAGGAATAGGAGCGGGAGAAGGAGGAGGAGGAGGAGGAGGAGGAGGAGGAGGAGGAGAAGCAGCAGGAGCAGGGGGGGGAGGAGGAGGACGACGAGGACGAGGAGGACAAGGAGGAGGAGTAAGGTGAGGCGAGGTGGGACGCGGGGCGGAATCTCTTCAAAACGAGGACCCAACACCACAGGACGGTTGGGAAAAATATGGGGAACCCCAGTGCGGCAAGCATCAACCGCGACAACAAAAAAGCGCTCGGGCTCGCAGGAAATGTAAACACCTCACTATACCCACAGACTGGGACGCTGCGGCGGGGCGCGCAGGGGGCAAAACAGCCGCGTGAGTTGCGAGGTCCATTTCGGCAAGCCGAGGCTTGAGCCAAAATGACTACGGACCTCATCTTCTTCCTCCCACTCCTCCTGCCGCCGCAGCTCGCGCGACCGCGGAGGCGCCCCGAAACCACCAGAGGACCAGGCTTCCGTTTCGAAGGAAGGGGGGAGAGAAGGAGGCCACCAAACCGTCCTGCATTCCGATGCTCATCATCCGCATCCCAGGGCACGGGCCATCGTGTGACTCGTAGTAAACCTGCTGCCAGCTGCCTGGCGCGGTCAGCTGGTCAGCCTGGTTGCTCATCGGCTCGTAAATGTCCAGCGAGTCCCCCTGCCAGGGGTGGCCGCCCTGCCCTTGCCGTTCTTGCTCTTGCCTTTCTTGCCCCTGCCGCTATCACCCTTCGACGCCAAATCGTGGCATTGGCGGATCTCGGCTTCCAGGAACGCTCCAGAATTGTCGATGTCCAGGTCGTAGTACTCTACGTTCCAGGCGTCTGAGATAAAACCGTTGCTATATCTGTAGTTCTCGTCGCTGCTGTTTGGCGCAAGAGAGTGCTATCGCAGCCGCTCTGTAGCTGAAGTATTCTTCGAGCAGCTTCCACGAGGCGCAGCGGTGCGCGCGGCGCCCAGGGGCGGCGCACGGTGTGGCTTGTTGGCGGCCTGGTCGCAGTGGTAACACCGCCCTTTTCTGGTCCAGGGCGCTTACTTACCAAGCCTTAGGGCGGGGAAGCAGGCTCTGGAGGGACCGCGTTGACCGTCGTCTTCTGGGCCCTGCCGTTGGCCGTGGGGAGCCCACTGCGTCTGCTTCGTGACCCCGTGGCAGTAATGCACTTTCCTGACACGCCCAGCGCGCTCGCCCACTCCTCCGGGAGGTCTTGTGTAGCCATGCTGGTGCCCCGAAGCTTTGCACATGGCTCTCGAAGCTCAGCTGGTTGCCCTCGAAGCTTTGCGCGTTACCCTCGGAGCTCTGCCTGTGGCCCTTTCAGCTATGGTGGTTGCCCTTGGAGCTCTGCGAACTGCCGTCGTAGCACTCATGGTGGCCGTCGTCCCGCTGCAGGTTGCCTTCGGAGCTCAGCTGATGGCCCTCGAAGCAGAGCTGGTGGCCATCGTAGCTGTGATGGTGGCCCTCGCGGCTCTGCTTGCGGCGGCCGTCGAGGCTCAACTTCTGGCCGGCGTAGCTCTCTGGGTGGCCCTCGTGGCTCTGCGGGGTGGCTCCCGAAACTGCGTTTCTTGTCGTCGTAGGTCTGCGGGAGGTTCTTGGAGCTCTGCTGGCTACCCTTAGACCTCTACTGGTGGCCCTTGTGGCTGCGCCGGTGGCTCCCGAAGCTCTGCTTATTGCCGTTGTAGCTCTCCTGGTGGCCCTCGTAGTTCAGCTGGTGGCGCTCCGATCTCTGCTACTAGCCCTCGAAGGTATGCTTCTTGCCGTCGTAGCTCTGCTGGTGGCGCCCATGGCTCTGTCGGTGGCCCTCGCAGCTAAGCTGGCGTCTCCCGAAGCATGTGGCCCTCGTAGCTCAGCTGGTGGCTCTCGCAGCTCGGCGCTCGGCTGGTGGCTCTCGAAGCTGTGCTAGTGGCTCTCGTAGCTCTGCTGCTTGCCGTCGTAGCTCTGCTGATGGCCCTCGCAGGTGCCCTGGTAGCTTGTGAAGCTCTGCCAGTTGCCCTCGTCGCTCTGCTGGTGGATCTCGAAGTGTGAATTCTTGCCGTCGTAATTATGCTGGTGGCTCTCGTAGCAGGGCCTGTGGCACTCGTAGCAGGGCTTGTGGCCCTCGAAGCTGTGATGGTGGCTCCCGAAGCTCTGCTTCTTGCCGTCCCAGCTGAGCAGATGGTTCCTGGAGCTCTGCTGCTCGCCGTCGTGGCGCTGCGGGATGTTATCGGAGCTCTGCTGGTTGCCCTCGCAGCTGCGCTGGTTATTCTGGAAGCTCTGCTTGTTGCCGTTGCGTCTGCTCTGCCGGCCCCCACAGCTCAGCTGGTGGCACGCCTAGCTCTGCCAGTGGCCCCCGAAGGTTTGCTCCTTGCCGTCGTAGCTCTGCTGGTGACCCTGGTAATTCGGCTGGTAGCTCTCGATGCTCAGCTGAAGGTCTTCATAGCTCGGCCGGCGGCTCGAAGATGTCGCCAACTCAATCGCTGGGCACCGTGTCTGAGAGAGGGCGGACCAGCCGGAGCCACTGTCGCCCGTCCTCGCCCAGGATGTAGACGCCCTGGAGGAGGCTGTGGCTGTCGTGGCCGCGGCTCTAGTGACCGTCGTAGTCCTCGTCGCCTTCGTGGCAGTAATCCAAGTGGTCATGACCCAGGGGGCCGTCGCAGCCGTCGTGGCTCTGGAAACCGTCGTCCTGGAGTCCAGAATAGCCCTGGTACCCACCATGTCACTGGATGGCGGCGTAGTCCAGGAGGTTGTCTGCACCATGATAGGGTACCTCTGTGATCACGTGTTTTTGCTCGACGACCGGGTTGAACCTGACGTGCTGCTCGCACATCTGCTGAAACGGCCTTCATTATCGTCTCTGCCGCCTGTTACGCAGCTCGTGGATATTCTTCTCCACTCCCTTCTCTGGTAAAGGCCGTACCTTGCCCCGTCCTGCACTAGACGCCATCATGAGGGCGGTCGCAGCGATGCTCTTGCAAGCTGCATATGTTCGCGCCCATGTCGTCCTGGTCGCACGTGGTCTCGGCACGGTTGCCAATATATCTCTCTCCACACAGACCGGGTGAGTCTCGCAAGCCTCTGACTTGATGGTGCTCTCGTCGGTGTGCACCAAGATGGCTCGAGGCAACTGTAAACCCACTGGGTCGCCCTCAGGTGAAGGTGGCTGCAGACGCGGTCGATCTCCCACACGAAAAAGAAGTAAGGAGCCGAACTCTATACACCGACGCTTTTTCCGGCCCCGCACTGACATGCGCACAGGAAAGCGGATCCTGGTGTATACGGATCCTGGTGTATACATGTTTTGATATTCTCCCCCCCCCCCCGGGAAATGGGACAAAAAGCATACACCCCACCACCCCGGCGTCGTCTCCGACCCTCCAGAAATTCTGGGATCGAAACACAGCCCGCCACTGGTGATGTCTATGCTCCAGCTTCCGAAGAAGACATACAGGGCAGTGTTTAATACATAGGTTAAAAAAGGATTTTAATACATGATCAATATTTGAATAAATTTATGCATGGACTCATCGTTGTTTTTAGTATTCAATCCTTGCATTTTTTATGCATGATCCGCACGCGGAGCATGTATTAAAAACGGCCCTGTACAGGGGGATGCTCGACGAAAAATAAAAAATACTCACAAAATAATCGAAAAATAGTCCAAAAACAGCCTGGGGATCATTTGTGGCATATTCTTTGACCTTTTTGGAATATTTTGGGGGTATGTTTTTCTTTTCGTCCACAATCCCCCTGTAGGGGGACAGGCCCGACTTAAGTCGATGCTCCAGCTTCCGAAGAAGACGCACACGCAATCACTCCCGGGGAGGCGCGCGCCGCCCGCCGCAGAGGGCGCGGCGGCACGCCGAAGCCGGACCCCCTCCCCCCACCCCGGGAGGCGGCCGCGCGGGCGGAGCCGCGGCGCCCGGGGGGGGAAAGACGGGGGGCAGAGGTCCCGCAAGCTGCCTCAGGCCAGAATGGCGACAGACTCCTCCTCCTCCTCCTCCTCCTCCTCCTCCTCCTCCTCCTCCTCCTCATCAGCAGCAGCAGCAGCAGCAGCATCCTCATCCTCATCATCGTCATCGTCATCGTCATCAGCATCATCATAATCATCATCAGAATCATCATCATCCTCAGCATCATCATCAGCAGCATCATCATCATAAACATCATCATCAGCATCATCACTATCACCATCATCATCCGTATCATCCTCATCATTATCATCAGCACCATCATCATTAACCGCATCATCCTCCTGCTAATACTCCTCCTCCCCCTCCTCCTCATCCTCCTCCTCCTCCTCCTCCCCCTTCTCCTCCTCCTCCTCCTCCTAAACCTCATCCTCATCCTCATCCTCATCCTCATCCTCCTCCTTCTCCTTCCATTCCTCCTCCTCCTCCTCATCCTTCTCCTCCTCCTCCTCCCCTCCATCCACCACATGTTCCCCCGAGGAATTCTCTGACGGCTGGGGAAACATATGGTCCAATAGCTTGGCCAGACGTTGGCCCAACGCTTGGCCGCACAGGCACTTCCAAAGGGCAGGGGGCGGCGGTGTTTCGCCTGAGGCGTCTTCGAAATTGATGGCATGTTGAACCCGTCTGGGAAGGAGGCGGGTGGAGAAATGGAAGAGGAGGAGAGCACAGGAAGGGAGAGAGGGAGGGGAAGAAGCAGGGGGGACTGCGCATGGAGCGGGAAAAGGGGATGTGGCGTGAATGGGAGGCGGAAGGGGGGGGGGCAGGGTTAGGTCGGGCATGTCCCCCTACAGGCGGATTCTGGACGAAAAAATATGTTGCTACTTTTCTTGTTTGTTTTACCAAAAAAAAAAAAAAAACAATGCTCAAAAATGCTTTACAAAAATCGGAAAATCGTCCCCAGACTATTTTTTACTACTTTTGGATATTCCTCCTGCTGCAGAGCGACACCCCCGACTTAGGGCCAGGGAGGACCCCCCGGCATCACGAGGCCGGGAGAGTCAGCGACTCTCCTCCTTGGTGTACGCGTTGTCTGTGATGTAGACGAAGTCCGAGATCTCTGGGGGATTGATCTCCTGGCGGCTGGGCAGAAGCGCGGCAGCTCCACGCTGGCACACAGAGCTCAGGGGAACAAAGCATGACATGAGCATAAGACCTCAGAGATCCGCACGGATGTCTAGGATCCGTGCTGGGGCCCCCTGGCGGCGCCTCCGGCGCCGCCACCTGGCTTGCTCCGCGCGCCAGGGAGAGGGGTCCTGCGCCGATCCGAGAAATCCGCGCGGACCTCCGAGTCTTTATGTTTATGTCGTTCTTCGTTCCCCGCAAGGCAGGGCAGCTCCACGACTGCACACACAGACGAGCGCGCTCCCCCAGTCGCAGAGTAGCTGCTCGCAAATGGCCCGGCTCCATCGCGGCGGATCTACGATACCTTACACATCGATGCAGACATGCGTCTTTTTTCTGGACGCTTGCGAGGAGGCACTGTGTCGGCGGTAGACAAGCCTCCCTTTAGTAAACCTCCCCTTGATGAAAACGGCCTGGGACCGAAACCGACGGGCCTGGACCCGCAAAGACGACGGCCGCGACGCCCTCTCGCGAACCGAAAACGGCCAATTCCTCAATCGACGTGTCAGAGTCGGAGGTCTGTCCACCTCCGATCGGGCGCTGGCAGAACTGGGTTTGGTGGGACCTGGTTTGGTGATAGGTACTGGGGGACGCCCCCCCCGCCCCGTTCCACTAACCCGGAACTGCCGTCACCCGGAAAACACCAGCTACGGCAGCCCTAGTTTAGCGACTCTGGCCGATCAAGGGGCTCCAGGGCCCTACTACTGACATGGCCCCCTTACCTGGCTATACTCGATCCGACTGTGCGAGCAGTGGCAACGCGCTCGGCGAGGCACACGGAGCTGGCCAAAGGGCCCCCCGCGCAGGGGGGCCCTGCCGGGGGAGCGCACGCCTCCCCTCGTGCAGCCAGGAGGGCGGAGCGCGGCGGAAGAAGCGGCGGGGCCTCTTCGCTCGCGAGCCCACGGCGCGCCCCGGCCACGACAAGAGGTCTCACACGACAAGGGGCCGCTTCGGGAGCGCGCGTAAGAAACTACAGGCCCGCGCTCCCGAAGCCACGATCCCGTGTAAATCATCCCGGCGAAAGGCCCCAGCATATGCAGCTGTGAATACCGCGTCGTGGGTACCGACCGCTTTCGGTGGAGCTCCCTGTTGGGCCGCGAAACGTGTTGAAGGGTGTGCCGAAGTGGGCGCGGTGGTGCCATGCGAGCGCTGCCACTGGGGCCTTCGGCGGAAACGTGTGAGGGGAGTGCCGAAATGCGCGCGAGGGTGCCAGGCGCAGCCACTGGGGGGCCTCGGTAGAGCTCCCCATGGGGCCACGAAACGTGTGCGTGGTGCGCCGACATGCGCGCGGTGGCGCCATGCAAGCGCAGCCAATGGGGCCCTCGAAGGAGCTCCCCATGGGGCCACGAATCGTGTGCGCGGGGCGCCGACATGCGCGCGGTGGTGCCATGCGAGTGCAGCCACTGGGGCCCTCGGTGAAGTTCCCCATGGGGCCACGAAACACGTGCGTGGCGTGCCAGAATGGGAGCGGTGGTGCCATGCGAGCGCAGCCACTGGGGGGGGCCACGAAACGTGTGAGGGGTGCACCGACATGGGGTGCGGAGGGCAGAGGCACGGAGGGGGAGAAGGGGGAGGAGGAAGGAGTGGGGGACGCGGGGCGCTGTCTCCTAAAAACGAGGACCCCGCACTACAGGATGATCAGGAAAATAATGAGACCAGCCAGCTAGATGCAGTTGCGGGTACCGTCGCTGTATGCACCGCATTCGGTGGACCTCCCGTTGGGGCCACGAAACGTGTGAAGGGTGTTCCACAATGGGTGCGGTGGGCGCATGCGAGCGCTGGCACCTGGGCCTTCGGTGGAGCTCCCTATGGGGCCACGAAGCGTGTGAGGGGTGTCCCAAAATCGGTGCGTTGGGCGCTTGCGAACGCTGGCAGTTGGGCCTTCGGTGGAGCTCCATAAGGGGCCAAGAAACGTGTGAGGGGCGTGCCGAAAGGGACGCGGTGGGCGCACGCGAGCGCTGGCATGGCCATGTGGGCCTTCGGTGGAGCTCCCTATGGGGCCACGAAGCGTGCGAGGGGCGTGCCAAAATGGCCGCGGCGGGCGCATGCGAGCGCTGGCATCTGGGCCTCTGATGGGACCCTCCATGGGGCCACGAAAAGTGTGAGGGGTGTGCCAAAGTGGGGGAGGAGAGGAGGAGGGGGATGAGGAGGGGACGAGGAGGAGAGGAGAGGAGAGGAGGTGGGACGCGGGGCTCTGTCTCTTCAAGACGAAGGCCCAACACCACGGGATGGTTGGGAAAAGCAGTGTGCCCGCGCCCCCGAGGCCTCGACCCCATGCAGAAAACTGCGTGCTCGCGCCCGAGGCCACGACCCCTTGCACGAGACACTGCATCTAGCTCCCGAGGCCACGACCCATATGAAGACCGATCGAACAGCAACCCTGAGGCAACGACCCCTTTGTAACAGGCTACAGATCCGCGCTCCCGAGGCCACGATCCGCAAGAAAGGCCTCCCGAGCTTCCGAGAGGGCCGAGGCAGGCAGCCAAAAGCCACCAGCATGGCCCGAGATACCTCCCATACGACCCAGCATATCCCCAGGGCGGCCCAAGATGGCCTCAAGACGGCCCAAGAGGCCCCCAATACGGCCCAAGAGAGCCACAAGAGGACCCCCAGTACGAACCATACATGTACGTGTGTATATATATATATATATACACACATAGACGTAGACAGCTACACATGCATACATACATTCATACGTACATGCATGCATGTCTGCCTACCTATATACATACATTCAGTCATGCACACATGTCTAACTACATACAAACATACGTATGCACATTCATACAGAAGTACATCCATACAGACATACATACATCCATGTATGCATGCATACATGCATTCATATATACATACATACATACATACATACATACATACATACATACATACATACATACATACATACATACATACATACATACATACATGCATGCATGCATGCATGCATGCATGCATGCATACATACATACATACATACATACATACATACATACACACATACACACATACACACATACACACATACACACATACGTACATACTTCCATACATACATGCATACAGACAGACAGACAGACAGACATGCATGCATGCATGCATACCTACATACCTAGGTGTAGAGACTAAAAAACAATCGTGCACGCTTCGTGCGCGCCCGGGTTTTAGCAAGCCCCAGCCCCTGACGAGCCAAAGCTGCACGCATGCATATACATATGAACATCTTAAGCTTGGATTGAACAAGAAGCAAGGACGCGGACCGAGCAGAGACGTACGACCGACAAGGAAAAGCGCATTCCCAACAACACAAATTCTATACGCAGCTGTGCAAACCAGTGAGAGCAACGCCCTTCTCGTTTGACACCAACCAATCCGTTTCATACAACAGCGTTGTGACACCGATTCGAACTCTGACGCAGCTCAAGACTGGTGATGTCTCTGATCACTTTAGAGGCATTTGGTGGGTGCCTCTTCGTGTGGTATGATATGCTCTTCGCATTTCTCAACACGCGTGCTCAAAGTACAAGTCTACTCCGGCAGCTGCATGGGCCTCCTTCACGTACCTCAACGCACGCGATGGCCAGGACAGAGGAGCTACACAAGTCAGTACGCGCAGGGAGGGCAGGACATACAGGTCATTCCAAGACCATCCCTCCTCATTCACAGACATCTCCCCCAATATCAGTGGCTCGAGCTCCGACAACAAAGATTGAACCCGCGGTACTAATTCGTCGGTCCTCGCGAGGGCAGCATCATAGTCGAAACCGCGCTCCACGTATTTGCTCATCTGGTACTGCCTGTCTGCCTCGGTCGCGAAATCGGCGATGGGCATACGCAGAAGGCGCGGCCGTGTCAGGCTGTGCATTACCTTGCGCAACCGCTGCTGCCATTTCTCGAGATCCTTCCGCTTGTTGTTCGGCGGGGCCACCACACGAGGATCCGACATCGCCTCCAACGCGTTGATTATGTCTTTGGATTCTCCCATTACGCGCTGAGCGCCTTCTGAATCTGTCCACTCGAGGACTGGCAGCACTTTCCGACCAATGAGTTTAGTTGGCCCTTCCACATCGGCATAATTATACACAGACCGTTCGTACTCACAGCCACGCCATCCTAAAACCAGCTCGATGCGCGTACAATATGGGCAATGGTCGTAAAGGTGAAGCCTAAAATTGGATGCGCCTTCCAACACGGCAACCGTTTCGAACGTGCCATCCTTGGCATACACTCTTTCAAATCCATTCCGGGCAGCTAGCAGGGGCCGTAGGTGTCGAAGCATCCGTCTCCCAGCGTCTCTTGGCTTCAGCGCAAATCGGCAAGGTGAAGCAAATTTGCAATGCGACACGGACATTGAAAAACTACCGATCGAAGCTCCTATGACAAGAGCCACGCTGCGCAATTGTGCGTGTCGCATGCGGGCGCTGGATCAAAAAGTAATCCCAATATCAATTGTCCAAATAAAAATCGCTGGAGCCAAAATTACTGGAGCCAATGGCAAGGCAACGCCATACAACGCAACAAACATGATTGCAAGAATGCCTGAAACAAGTCACATGCACACCCATGCATATCATGGCAGAGCCAGGCAGTGTACCTCGATGTCACACGCATGCATGCATGCGTGCATGCATGCAACACGCATGCAATGCGACGCAAGTCATGCGAAGCAATGCGACGCAACGCCATACAGTGCAACACACATCGGGGAACCCAACGCACCCAAGGAACCCAAACCACTCTGAGGGCACAGTGGCGGGGAGCCCGGCGAGAGACTCAAGGAACCTGGGCTGGGGGGTGCCAAGTGCCGCCGGCTCTCCGACACACAATAAGGGGGGGGAGGGAGGAGACAGCACCGACGAGGGAAGAGGAGGAGGAGGAGGAGGAGGAGGAGGAGGAGGAGGAGGAGGAGAGGGAGGGAGGGAGGGAGGGAGGGAGGGGGGGAGGGAGGGA